TTCCTGCTGCCGGATGGTGGCAAGGGACAACCCCAGCCCCAGACTGGTAGCCCTACAAGCAGTGGCCCCCCAGCAAACCCCCCTGCGTGCCCTCCCCCTTGTCCTTCGAGGTGTCTCTTAACTGGGGGTCCTCTGGCAAGTTAAAATAGAGCTGGAAGCAGAGTGTTGCCTCACTATCGTCCTCCAGCAGAAAGAGACACGAATCAAATCAAATGCATTTCATTTGCTTTTATTTAATTTAAAAAAAAAAGTCAAAGTCATTGCAATCCCATTTAAATACAGAGATTTACAAATAGGTCCAAAACAGGACTAAAATATTCTTTGAAATGCTGTACTTTTAAATATTGTGCTTTCATAGATACATAAGAAAATTAGCATATAAAAATACTTTACAAGGAATACACTCTAATATATGGATAAAAATACACATTTAAGTAATGCATTTCATCTTCATATCATTCAAAATGCATAGGAAGGGATACAAGGACCAAGTTTTTCTTCCTTTTTTTTTTTTAAAGCCTTTAATAAAAGTCTTCATTAAAAACCTATGAGAAGCCCCAGTGAGCTTCCACTGCTCATAATATTGCATATAAAAACACTTTCGGCTGCACTGTCAATGCTCCACAGTATCAATTATGGCACATTATCTAGTTGTGGCAGCAATGGTATGGGATATTGCATACTCGAAGAGAAAATGGCTACAACAACAAATAGCTGGATGGGGCAGGACACATGTCTCGAAGAAACACCCTGACACCTGGCGCTATTGCGGAGCAACAGAGCCGCAAAGTGGCTCGGGGGCAGATGGGGGGGGACAAGTCCTGGCTCAGCAAAGTAACGAATGTGTGGCGTACACCCATCCCACACCCTACACGCACCACCGGCACGGAGGCGGTGATGGAGGAACCGAAAGGGTGAGCGGGGAACAGGAGGCGGTGGGTGCCAGGGCTGCAGGTCCCCGACCGAGCGACCTCCTCTTCTCCGCCGTGCCCGAGCCTTCCCAGGAAAAGCGATGCCAGGCTCACGCCACCACCGGGACATGAACATCATCATAAAGTGCTAATACATGAAACATGGCAGGCAGATGAGGAAACGGATGCAAACATCACAGCCCCTCTTCCCCGTGGGGTTGGGGCTCTGGGGAGGGAGGGGAGTGACCATGGGGCGTCATGCTTGCAAAGCCACGGAGGGGCCAGAGACAGGCGAAGGCGGGTGGACCAGGGGTGAGCAGCCGAACCCACGTGGGCACACACACCGCCCAGCCCACGCAGGACACAGGACACACAACCTCCATCTAACAAAGGGCTTCTCATGCCACTGCCTGACAGGAGATGACAAGGTGGTATTAATTCAAAACCTCAGGGACAGCCCCGGGAGGATCACTATTCTGCTATTTACTTGCGGGCACAGGCCAGGTTTGCAAGCAAGAGATCGCCATAAAGCCCAGACAAACAAGGTGGCCAGGGATTTGGGCAGGTATTCAAGGCCTTTAGCCATAGGTACGGCCTTCTGCTCTGTAATAGCTACTCCAGCACAGGTAACCACATTGCTCATGGGAATCCATGGTGAGACGAGGTGCCTCATCCCACCGCAGGGTGAGCCAGCCCCAGCGGGAGAGCATGGACGGGGCTGGCAGGAGGCAGCTGCAAATACCAATTTTTGAACAAGAATTGCACCTAGCCACTCTCAAGCACATTTTGAAATGTCTTTTAAACAGGGCTCTCGACAGTCCTGCACCGGGAGTGCAAGGGGCTGCAGAAATCAATTTATTGGGAGTGTTTAAAGGACGGAGCTGGGCACAACAGAAAAGGAAAGGCGCTTCAAGTCTTGCTGTATGCGATTAACCGAGCAAACAAGAAACATAATAGCACCATGTGTGTTTATAGGATGGCCAAGGCCTTCAGGGTGAGGAGGGTGTCGGAGGCAGGACCCCACGCACCCCGCTGGCTGGGGCGCAGGGAGATGCCCTGCCATGGGGGATGGCTGCGGACGCTCCTTCCTCCCGTTGGCAGCTCATCCCATCACCGGCGCTGCCCACGGCCTGAGATGCACATCCAGCTCCAACCTTCCCAGCAATATTTGGCAGTCTACAGGCAACAGCTCAACTGAAGACCCACCTCCCCACTTGCAGGTTATGGTATACACAGCCTTTACAGATACCAGTGCAAAAACCAGGAAAAACACCCCAAATACCACAATGGCTCAGCAGAGGCCCCAGGCACCATCTGCTCTGCTCCCGCTGCTCAGAGCATCTGGACGCTCGCCTTGACCTCGGCGCCACGGGCCACCTGCGCCGGCAGCTCTCTGTTCCCCTCCGGGGGAGCGTTGGCAGCAAGTGCCAAGGGGTTTCGGCTGATCACCAGGTCCAGCTTATCTCCAGCCTCCGAAATCAGGGGAACAGCCAGACAGCAGTCAAAGTCTCTCGTTCGGATGCGGTTTACCTGTCGGGATGGATTTAGGACATGCCATGGGGAGGAACAACAGAAAGACCATGTTTGTTAGTCAGAAAATGCAAGGCTGGTGCTAAACCCACACCTGTGAAAACGCGCAATTCTTGGGGGTCCCTGATTCCAAGTTCACAGCAGAGCAGAGCAGGGGCACCCCTTCAGGCTGAGCACATCCTTGCTTAGCTGAGAAATAATGCGGTAACTGGTATAGGAAGGGGAAAAAGTGTCTAGATCAGGCACAAACCCTGACCCCCGGTGTCTGGGGCAGCATTACAGGTATTAAACACTGCAGGACTCAAAACCAATTCTCCAGTTCAAGCCTGTAGAGAAAGGTTGCCATTTTCCACAATTTTTTTTGCCATCATGGCTTTTACTGGCCTTAAAACTGTGATGGGGGTAGTCAGCGCCTAGAAAACAAATACAGCTCAGACCCTGAGGCTTCTGCCAACCATTTTCCAGCTCAGCCAGCAGTAAATTGAGACTATACTGAACAATTTCTGCTTCTCCTCTCTCCATTTACATCCTTCATTTCAGAGGAGTCTGGATGCATTTCAACTGGGCTCAGAAGGCAGCTGCAAATTCTCTCTGAGGGATTCAGCAGCGAAAGCACTTTTACTGCTGTCTCTTGCAGACCTTCAAGCATATTTCTAGGCTGGGTCACCTGCAAGAACCACCCCAGCTCTCTCGCCTACAGCTACCAGAGCACCTGGGCTTGGTGCCACAACAGCTCCAGGATGGAGGGGGCTGGCAAACAGCATGGGGAGGGGAAGCAGGGAAGGGAGAAAGGAATTTCCCACCCATCTTTGGAGCAAACATAACCCCTGGGGCCAGGCGTTGCTTCCTTCTCTGGATAAGGGCTGATAAGTCCATGCAACCCCTCCATCCAAAATCCTTTCCCAGCATTAATGCATGCCCCTGGAGCTGGGCTCTGTGACGGTAGCAGTGTCCCCCTGCCCTAGCTGGAGTCCACACAGTTGATGCCAATACTGCTCCTTACAGCGTAGTAACTAAGGACAATTTCTAGGCCACATGTGGACAAGGAGAGCTAAGCCAGGAGCTTGCTCTGCCTTTGCTCTACGCCAGCCAGGCAGTTCCAGTGCAGAAGGGCCATTAGTGCGATGCTGTGCTCCAGCTAATCCATCCAGCCGAGAGGCAGAGGGTCTGTTACAGCAGGGACGAGGTGTTTCGCTGGCCTTCAGGCACATCATCATGCCCATCAGCAGCAGCACTGTGAAGCATCTCTCTGCTTCTTGCCGGGAGTTGCCTGTAGCAGGTCTGCAATCCCTCATTCACAACTCCACATGTCAACGCGATGGCAATCGCCTCGTCTTCTTGTAGGTGTAAACCATGCGGCACAGCATGTGGAAGGTGGGTGTCGAAAGTCTCCATGCTGCTCTGTTTAGGATTTCAGGCACACCTCCCAGAGCACTTGGCACTCGCAAAAAGCGACACGTCCAACATTCAACAGAAAGGCAGCCCAGAGCCTAATTAGCTTCTTGTTCATTCTTGCACCATCTTTTATTTGAAGCCGAGAAGGAATAATTGTATAGGAGCCAACTGGCTAGAGACCATAACAAGCTTAAACAAGGTTCCCCACAGTGCTGCCAGTTCTCCAGTTACCTGAGGTACATAATATACTGGCTCTAATCCTCCTGCTAACAACGCCCGCCTAGAAATTAGTAAAACTAAACATCTTTCTGAGTGTTTCCAAATATGGTCACAATATCTGCATTTCCAAATGGTGGCAATTTTTCCATTGGGGTTGCACTTTCTCAGTTGCTGTTTGAGTTGCCCCAAAGCTAAAACAGTTGGTTTTTTATCCATACAAAGCTCCTCTTCAATCTCCAAAACTCACCGTGCTCTTACTGTCCCCTCTGGTAGTCCGACATGCCCAGGTCACATTTATTACAGACTGTTCTTTTGACCAGAATTTTTATTCTGTTTCTGCATCAGCTATTTCAGATCAAGTACCTTTCAAAGAAAAATATCTACGAAAAACACTTTGCTTGAGGGATGTGTTTCCTAAAAAACTCTCTTAGTTGTCAAAGGCATGCACAGAACTTCATGAACACCGCTTAATTCCACATGGGGCTTTGCAGGAACACATATTGGTCAACAATCTAGTTCATCCAAAAATCACCCTCTTACACGATAGGAAAAGGACTGAGGATGAGAGGGGGAAGCAACACAGCTTTTCGGTTGTTTTGAGCTGCCCAAGCTCAAAAAGGCCAGTGCCAGGCAGGCTGCGTCCTGGAATAGGTATAACCTAGGGGTACGACCTAGTGATTTCTCATTATAAAACACAGGTCTCATTGAGCGCTTGGTGGCTAAGTGCTCACCTAGTTGGCTAACTATTACCTTTCATTAAAGTTAGTGTTGCCATGGATGGGTCTCACTTCTCTCTTCCTCTCAGCCACTCATTCACTCCGTCCCAGCCTCCAGAACTGCATTTTGCATTTATTACCTGAAGCACTCTGTCATATGGCTTGAGGCCACACTGATCTGCTGGCCCATCCGGACGGACCATATTTACATAGACACCTTTTTCTAACAGGCTGTCCGACACACTGAATCCAAAGTCTTCACTCTCTGGGTCTTTGTGGAGAGTCATCTGAAGGGGCAGAAGCAGAACACATGTGTTAATGCAGCAGAGGCAGGAGGAGATGTACAGGGTTGGCAGGACAGGAATAGCACAGGTAATGTGTGTGGACCTACAGCAATTCTGCTCTGGGTCTCCCGGGCAGATTTTCCTAGCCTGGGCAGCTAATACAGATTGAGCCTTATTTACCAGACACCATCAGCTTAGGTAGACCGCATGGAGAAGTGCTTTGGCGACTGGCATATAACCAACCACACAGCAGTCCCTCTCCCTTGGATGTGGAAGGAACTGCAAGTGTCATACAGACAGCTGCCATATTTCACCCGAAGGGCAGCAAAGCAAGTGTTATTAATGGAGCATCGCCTTCGCTGGCCCAGGTTACGCTGTGCAACCCCTGTGTATGCCAGACCGGCACATGAAAAATCAACATGTTCACGGGGAATTTTCAATGTAGTGTGTCAAATGTGAAGACAGCTCATTTTTAATACATCTGGAACATCTAAACTTCTCCATATTATTCACGAGTTCTTTTCAGAAAATTCATATCAATAAGTGGTGATGTACTGAGGACGAGACATGGGTAACCTCATCACCCCTCCCTTGAGCACGTCACACTTTGGCCTCATCTAAAGGAGGGGTGCACTGCTGGGAGTGTATCTTGCCACAGGGTAACACTGGGAGCCAGGGACAACTGATTCCCCAACACCAAAATCTCCCTTTGCCTCCCACGAACTGGGAGTGCATCTCTACCGTGAGGCTCTAACTCCATCACCGCATTCTTGGCTAGGTGAGCCTTATGGATGTGCGGTCCTTCGGAAGAACAGTGCCCAGGATGACGCACAGGAGCAGCCCACCTGGCCTTAACCTCATCTCCAAACACAGCCAACACCAGATGCTCCAGCAGAATGAAGAGTCACCCTATAACATGCCTAATTACACAGCTCTCCCCCTTCAGGTACAAAGGAGTTTTATTTAAAGACACATTTGCCATGCCCTCAAGGACAAGAGCAGATCAAACATGAAAAAGTTGTTTTTTCCAGCTACCGTAACTGCAGGTTTCGTTCTAAAGTCACACTAGGAAAGAAAAAGGCAATCAAATTTTTTGAAACCTCTCCAGCTCCCTTCCCTGCTTGCATTCTGCATCAGCAGCTTCTATAGTTAATTACTTCTTCTAATTACCGCTGTCTTGCACCATGCTTAAACTGGCTACATTCTGTTGGGTACTGAATTCAAACAAGTATCCCATCGCTGAAGTCCTACCATTTGCACCCCTTCAGGAAAGGCTGGGGATACAATGGAAGGGGAGAGAAAATAAGTTATTTTTAAATTATCGTAAGTTATTTTTTATAAGAAAAGTGGACTACTGAATGGAGCATGCCACTGGAAAAGGGCTGATGGGTGTCCATGGGGCCATACTCTGAGCTCTCTCGCCTGTATCTGTAGCACCGATTAACGAACTCCAGAACACAAGGACCTGGAAATCTCATATAATAAAGGGAAACAGCAAAGCACAGGTTTGAACCCCGCTGAAGTATGGCAGCTAAATCCCGTTACTCTTCTGAAGGGGCCCCTTCCTCTTCATCTGACCCTCTGGAAACCTTTACTGCAGGCCTTGGTGGGGGGCATCTTCAACAAGGAACATTTTCTGGGGGTTCCTCTGAACAAAGGAAATTTTCTGCAAGGCTGCAAAGCTTCTACAGCTTTAACCATTGAGATACCGCAGTGCCACAGCCAGATCAACCCTTGGCAACACACCTTGTGAAACTCGAGGGGGGTAGGGGACATGATTTCCTGCATCTCCTTCTCGATCTTCTTTATGTCCAGGTTCTTCTCGTTCTTCCTGGCAGGGGAGCTGCTACCCTCGGTCTGTCCATCATCACAGCTGGAGTTTGCTTTCCTCAACGGGCTCAGTCCCGATGGGTTGACAGAGTCCAGGAGCAGCTTGCTGCCCTCCAGGCCCAGGTTGTGCACACTCCCCGTCATGATGGATGCCTGTAGGGCGAGGGCACAAAGTCACTTTGTTGAGCCGGCAGCAGGAAGAGATGGACCACACGGCAACAAAAGTGGCACAGACAACAACAGGGGACGCCATTGTTCTCATTAATCAGAAAAGTAAGTACGAAGAAGCTCTTCCAGTTAGCTATAAAAGCCATTTCCAGACCTCAGGAGCCTGCTGCCAGGTCTATCGCTGACCTGCTGCATGGTCTTCCACCCCAACATGGAGTTTTATCTCAGAAAGAAGCATTTGTGAAGCATCTCCTCATTTTTTGATGACCTCTTTTATATAAACGGGACCAGGCAGACCTCTTCTTGTGCAGGAACCTTCTTGGTAGTAGTCAAGAAGGATGAACATCCCAATCTCAGGAGGCTCCCAGAGGAACCGGTGTCTGCCTGGCTCTCCAGCCTACCCCTGAAGGCTGCAGCTCACGATCAGCTTTGCACAGTGCTGGTAATGGTCCAGGGAAGTCGACGGGACTCCACTGAGACCAATTCAGCAGAGAAATTACGATTTTATCTGTCAGTAAATGGGAGCCGTCACTGAGGAAAACTGAGTTAAAAATATGAAATTAAGTAGTATTTAAGCCTGGTTATCCTTGATAGCATCCATTAAAAGATGCCCCTAAGTGGATTCTACTCTATTTGGCAATGCTTTTCACTAATGAGATTACATTGATCAAAGCTAATAAAGAAGTCAAGAATCCAGTCTGTGGAACCTCAACTGGCTCCAGGTCACAGAGTCCATTTAAACAGTGTAATGAAAACTGTCATTTCAAAGTTCAGGCTCCAAGGGTCTGCAGCCCCATTAAATGTCAAAGGGTAGAAGAAAGAAAAGGAAAGGTAGGGAGCAGATAGCAAAATGCAGCAATGCTAAATGTGCCAAGTCAAATAGCAATTGCTCCTGTGCACAGGGGACATGTCATCTCTCTAAATCTCTAATCAAGGCCTGCCAGTTCTTTGCTCCAAGCTGGAACAAAGGCAAATAAAGCGAATTCTGGGGCAGTATGAAAATGCCAGCACTACCCACGTTATCCCAAATAGGGATGGATAAAATACAGAAAACGTTTTAGCTTTGCACTTTTCAGGTCTTCACACAAAAATGACTTAATCAGCTCGGGTTTGGACAGAACTCAAATACCTGCTACACGCTGGAAGGATGTTGAGTTACCAGATACTTGAAACACAGATTAAGAAACAGAGGTACAGCCAACCAGGGTACGTTTGTTCATGGACCTCAGGCAACCTCAATAGCCCCCAGGACGCCGTGCCATGCTGTACCAATGCCAGCATTGCAGAGCCAGGGAGGAGAACAAAAAGGTCTGTGTGTGTCACGCTGTGTCCTCCCTCGTTCACTGCAAATACCGAAACCAGCCAGTACCCAACAGCGTGCCGTTCCTAAGCATTCGACTCCTCCTCTATCTTCAAGGTATTTAAATACTCCTTGCAGCATCATAAGCAATTTGCTAGGTGCTTTGGATTAAGTGCAAGCAGAAGAAAGGGCAATTCTGGAATTCTCCAGCCTGTGGCTGGAAATATTTTTTCCCATGTCTTGGTTGCCCTCAAAGCAAAGCGGGGACACACGTTCCACTAGCATACTGGAAAAAGCCTACCCATACCGTGTAGTCTGGGAGTGGACTGCTACTGTGTGTGAACCTGTTTCCAGGCTATCTTGGGTCATCTGGCACGACTCGTTCTTTTTCAAATGTGGAGCATGAAGGATTAAATTTTTTTTTTAAATTATTTAAAAAAAAAAAAACAAACATCTATGAGTGTCATAACAACACAGGTGGCCAGGAGCTGGGGCTTAGAAACCTGTGATACAGCAAAAGCCCCAATGAGCACTGCACATCCCACACCACACCTGGGGAAGGATGGGCACACGGAGAGAGAGGAACAGATCAGTGGTACTTTGGATTCAATAAAAGGGGAGTTGAAACCCATCAGACTTCTGTTAAAAACACAGCACTTTCCTTTTGTCCCCAGAACTTTCCAAAATATTCTAGAAATGTGCTAAATACACCAAAATCCTTGCTCAGCTTTTTGTAAAATTTCTTTACATTTTTTAAAGCATTGCTATAACTGTCAAAGCTCCAAAGCCTTAAAACAGCATGAATCAAAAGCCCACGCATCCCTGCACCACGGATGCCTGGAAAAGGAAAAGGATTGGGCAGAAAGATATTTTCTCTGTCCTGGCATTTCACTGTAGCCCAACAAATCCCTTCTTTTACATTGAGATGCCAGCCATTATGCAGAAGAGAAACATCTATGCATCATTCCAGAAGGGTACTTTTTCTTAAGTAGTCAACAACAGTTCAGAAAGGTTGATAGCGGCTGCCTAAACTCATTTCTAAATACATTCAGGTCCAGGAGATAAGTCATCAAGGGAAGAAGTTATAGTTTGCGGGGGCTGGGGGGGGGTGGTTTTTGTGGGGGGTGGTTTTTTTTTTTAAGTCAGCATTTTCTTAAGCAGTTAAGATAATAAATACACCGTTTCGTGCTTCAGCACAATAAGTTTAACTGAGATTTCCTCCCCCACTTACGGTTGCTAAGGATCAAGGAGGAAAGAACAATTACTAAGTCCCTTGTCACCAATATTTTCACATATAGACCCAAACAGGTCTTTCCTTTTCCACCTCCAATTATTCAGAAATCGCCTTTTCTCTCTGAAGCCTAAGCTATATGCAATTGTGCATAAAACCAGTCCCACTGGGGGTGATGGAGGGCACGACCCAGCAAGCTCTCCCCAGTCCTCTGCACCCAGAAGGCAGGGGGAGAGAGGAGTGTGTGGGGTCCCGCTCCTCCTTTTGGGCTGTGGGAGCTGAATCAGGGAGGGGAGCAGCACAGGTCTCACCCTGCCAGGCAGGTTTGCTTCCCGTTGCTCAACAGTCTCGAGGGACGCTTTTATTTGCATCCCTCAGCTTAGAAATCCAAGCTCCCCATCCTATAACCGGACACAATAATATGACCTCCAAAGCATTTTGGATAAAGAAAAGAGAAAGTGGTTTGTGAAGAGAGGAAACACCTTTATTTCTGCAGGAAGCAATTACTTTCTCAGATTTTTCCATGGGGAAGGCTGGCTGAAAAGCTTCCAATTACCTATTTCACTGAAACAGTTTCCGGCAGAGTGACAGCTGAATGCAAGATATATGTTGGGTCTGTCTATATTTGAAGTAAGCCAAGGCTTCAGTCCCAGTGGGGCTTTCGGGGGCTTCTTTTGCTTGGCCTTTAAGTGCTTTGGACAGACAATATCTTTCCAAGCAGAGAGTTTACTGTTTGATAGGGAAGGTTTGCCAACAGTCACGTGAAGATTGTTGGCCAGCAACAGTTTGCAAAAAGAGCGTGGCGTTCCTGGTGGGTAAGTCATTGGCTCAGGGAAAAAGTGCAGGCAAGCAACTGTCTAATGAGACATAGTTATCCATTAGCACAAACACTGACATGGACTAAACTCGAACCCTTCTTCACACCCCTCGCAGCACAGGGATGCTACAGGCAATTAACAGATCTGGGGAAACAGTCTAACATTTACAGCAAGAGCAAAACAGTCAGATCAGCAGCAAATTCAGAAAGTGATTTACCTCAATCTCCCTCAAAAGTTCAGACTGGCCGCATGTTTCCAAATCCTCCAAAGCTTCTCCAAAAACACGCCAAAAACTATCCTCGTGAGTGGTCTCAAGGCCATTTTGGCGGTTGGGGTATCTGTTGTAACGTAGGAACCAAACATTGTCAGCACTCTTCTGCAGCGGGATGAAAGCCGCAAGGCTACAGCAAGTGTCTCACCAGTAAAAGCAGAGACTTGAAGAGTCTTCATATACAAAAGCAAACAATATGAACTTTTCAGACAAGAGTCCGAATACGAGACCTCCATGCATTTACTAACGGGGCAAGTGTCCTTCAAAGGAAGAATTAAGTTGGTGTAGTAATGTCAAAGTTCAAAGGGTAAATTAAAAAGTGCCTGTAGGAAGACTGTAGGTTTAGGAAGACGTTTTGGTGAAATAGAGAAGTGAAAGAAAAAAGGATGCGTTATGGGTAAACCAGGAGCCTCAGAGACTGTTAGTACAAAGGCTGATGGGATAGAGCTCAGATCTGAGACACAGAACACCTGAGAAGAGAGAGAAAAACACAGAGGGTAACAGACATGGTGAGAAAATGATAAATACATTAGGTCTCTATGAGAGTAAATAATGCAAAGATGTATATAAAAATGATTGGCCTGGGCCGGACAGGCAAACGCACACTACAGCCCGCAATAGCGACAGTGTCATGTATAACCCACATAAACCAAGTTTCATTTGCTTTGGGATGGCCAGGGAACTGAGCTGTTACTTTTAGGAGGTCTCTTTCTTTTTGCTGTATAACAGTCATGGCACTTACGGCCATGTAGATTGCCACCAGTTCTATCTACAACAGAGAATAAGGATAGAGAGAACCTCACTCAAGCTGGTACAAACACACATTAACGTGAACACCGTGTGCGTCTTGCTGGGGGTACGGCAATTTCCCACCTTGGCAGTTTCAGCATCTCTCATCTCTAACCACAAGCCAGGTTCAATTCTTGGACTTCTAAAGCAAATAGCAATTAAACATGCTGAAGTCCTCTGAACAAGCCAGAGAAGTAGGTGACACCGGACACTGCTTACTGAACACCAGGCTCTGTGCAAAACTCAGACCGTCAGCGCTCAGTTGAACAGGAGCCTCTTGAAGGAAACTCTCCGCGGTGTTAAATCAAGGTCACAATAAACCCACTAATGTGTCATGGGGAGAGACCCCAAGGGGACAGTGACATTAGAGCAGCCCTAATGCATCTTCTACGCATCTTAGTAGGAGCTGCATGGACAAGGCTCCACCTCTGCAACATCTGGCAGCATCTCACATGGCTTAATGGTCATCAGCATCGCAGACGGGTAGGGATGCTCATCCACCAAAGCCACTTAGTCAAAACATTTTACCTGAGTACAAGTCAAAGAGAGGTTGGCCTCCATTAAATATATAATGACCCCTTGGGCTATTAATAGAGCTTTTTCCAGATCTCTGTTAACTGCAAACTCTTTAGCTTTTCATCCACTGCTTTAAATGGGAGTCTGGAGCAGGCGTAAACTCACACACACACACACGCTTTTGCTCCTTGTGGGATCGTGGCCTGCCTGGAGACAGCAATATCTGACATGGCTTATTGTATTTTAAATTTACCTCCTACCTTTCATCAGCTTTTAAAGGACACTAGCCTTTACACCAGGCAAAAAGGTCAAAAAAATACCCAGCAAGACTTTATAAAAACAAACCAAAATTCCCCCCCAAAAGGAATTTTCGATTCTTTCCCCTTACTCATTTCCTTCCTCTGCTCCCAGGCTCCCAAAGAGGCAAACGTTCCTTCCAGTTAGCAGTTTCTTGCCTCTCAGATCAGCAATATAACAAACACATCCAGGACGCAGATCAATCAGTATGGGCTCTCACACCACTGGGTCAGCAGGTTTTTCCAGGCTAAAGGCAGCCGGGGGTTAGAGACATTTTGTTTTTCTCCCTAATAAAAAGGGCTCAGCAGCATGAACCGTTTCACTTGCACTTTGACATCAGGGCTCGGAGCCCTCATTAGGGACATGCGGAGCTTCCAGTGCTCAGATTTGCTAACTTTGGCTGTCAGCGGCCTCGCTGGGAGGGCCACGAGGGATCAACGACCTCTGCGAGCCGGCTCTTACTGAGAGGCAAAACAAGAACAAAGTCTCCGCCGCTGCCAGCCTTCCTGCCAGTTTGATCATCTTTAAATAGGTGGAAATGGCCATGAGATGTTCTAAGGGTTTTGTCTGGACAAACAAAAGTTAAGGAAAAAAAAACAGAAAAAAAATGAACCGACAGTAACAACACGACACACACAACTGTGGGGACTCTGGAGGATGTTGAGGGGAGGGTTAGTTACAAAGCAACGAGGCTTTTCCACCGTGTATGGCTCAGCGAGGGGCAGCCTCTGGCCAGGGCAGATCCAGCAGGATTTTCACCCAAAGCGAGGGGCAGCTGCAGCCTCCTCCATGGGCTCGAGAGGTATTGCAGGATTTCTCCCACGCTGGCCGAGCCGGGGGATTAACTCAACCACGCTCACTCGGCATGGCTTTGGCCGTGGTGCTGGAAGGGCCAAAGTGTGATGGAGAGAGATGTCCAGCCATAGCTTTGAGAGATTTTAACTTGGACATGCAGCCTCACACTCCTCCAAGAGCTTCGTCTGGCCTTTTTGGCTTCGTGTCATCAAGCTCTTGTGAGCTGCATCCTCACTCGAAAGTGTCTGGCCAACACAAGAGGGGACAGTCCTGGCCATGCCTATTTATTACACCTGAACTATGAAAATACTGCAGCCTTTACATGGCAGGAGTACGAGACGTGGTAAGAACCTGTAGTCCATGCAGCTGAGACCGCCCTAACTCCAGACACAAATGTCACCTAGCCACGGAAGAGGTGCCATAGAGCTACACCCAGGGTAACCTGGCAATGTCGAGGTGGTTTGACAGAGCAGATCAACACCCCAGCACCCCTTCCCATGGCTGCCCGATGCCAAGGTGGGGACATCACTGGCCACTCCATCACATTCCCATGCTCCCTCGTCCCTGTGCAGTGACACCCACATTCGCAGATGCACCTCCCTGCCTCCTCCCACCCCTCCGTACCTGCTGGGCTTGTCCCAGTCGTCTTCACTGAAGCTTCCATCCATGTAGGGGTAGTTTTTCCTGGGGTCCCCCGGAGGGGTGCTGCTCTTTTGCCTGCTGTGTCTCCATTCGTGCGGATGGAGGGCTATGCCCGCAGCCTGAGGTATGTACGTACCTAGGGAAGGCAAGAGGCAGTGTAGAGAGAGAAGGTAATACCTGGTCAGAAAACTCAAATAGAGTTAAGTCATGCTGAGCCAGGAGAGCCTCCTTCCCCAAATCCCAAACCTGAGTCCATCTGGATTGCATACTGCTTCCATTTCAGTCATCCAAAAGGAGTTGTTGTCCCATCTCTTCTTGCTTTAACCAAAACAGCTTCTCAGGTCTTGTCATAAGGTGCCCCATTTCTCCCTTGCTCTCCCCTTCTAATTAGCTTTGAGGTGTGGGTTCAGGATCCACAAACCTGGGGCTTCACATTCCCACAGATGCAGATCCTACCCCCAGCCAGTTCCAACCTTAGTTAATGGCTCCTGTTTCCACACTGAACCCATCAGAAATTGTGCTGCTGAAAACAGAAAATTGTGCTGTTTAAATACATCGAGTCCTTCAAAGGGTAAAGGGAAGATGCTGCCAAGCCTCCGTCAGCATGCCCAACCCCATTCATTTTGAAGGATTTAGAAGCCTGATTTCTATTAGGAAAAAAGAAATCTCCATTTAGATTCTCAACTGTCTTTGGGACTTAATGGACAGCATGAAAAAAAATAATAGGATATAGAAAGACAGCAGCAAAGAAACTGCATCCAGAGCAGCCTGATGCAACAGCCTCCCTTCAACAAGCCTGGCGGTGCTGAGGGTACCTGGTGGTGGTCACCAGCTCCAGTGTGCTCAGCAGTGGTTAAATGATGAAGAGCCAGCCCTGATCTCGAGAGCTGCCCACCAGTTCCCGCAGGTGGCAGAGCCCTTCCATGCCTTCGGGATCCACTGCTGCAGGTACAGAAAACTGCTTCAGGGACATGTCTGTAAAAGGCAAGGAACAGGAGGAAAAACTCTGCTGTCCTGAGAGAAGGGGAGGCTCATCTGTATCACATTTGATAGGAGATCAATACAGACCGTTAGGATGAAATCAGACAAGTTTGCTGTGTCTGCCCCCAAGGACTCCCCTGTACTGTGTACTCTGGAGATGCAAATCCAACACTACCAAGTCACAAGAACCCCAGGTCTCACGAGGAGCTGCCTGGATAGAAACCTTCCAAAACAGAGCATTCCTCAGCAGTGTCAGGACCATCTGCACTGGAAATAAATCTCTTGAGTCCCCTGCCCACCTCCTGCTGCCCATTCAACATTTCAGAGAAATCCTCACAGCCTTTCCAAGAAACATCGTATACTTCCATCACACGCTGTGCCAAGCAAACAGGAAGAGGTAACGGAGAAACACATAATTAAGGGAGACTTGACCTCCCAAACAGCTAAGAGCACTGGAAATACCCAAAGCCAACGCCAGCACTTTCTTTGAAAATGCCAAGGCCTGTTATTTCACTTAGCTGAGTGTTTCCTCCGTGTGTTTTTAAAGGTTAGACTGCTCTGGAGAGAGCCCCAGAAAAGTGCTTGCCAACCTCTTACCGCAGTCAGGAGCGCTCGCTGCCTGCCAGAGCAGAACAAGGTCCCTGGCTGCAGGTCACTGCAGCGGGTGGGCAGCAGGTTTGGGCTGGGTGCAGGGGCCGGAGACCGCAGGGTATGTGTGTAGAGCTGTCACTTGGGTGCCACCGGTTTCACCTCCTCCTTCCAAGGAGACGGGCTGGATCCCTGGGATTCAGAGCCACCTGGTGGCATGTTCCCACCAGGCCCGGCACAGCTCCCTCGCCCAAACCCTTCCCTCAGCGGTTTCCTAAATCTGTGGATGAACCTAAAACCCGCAAGGCTGCAAAGCGCAATCTGTGGTTCTCCATTTGGGGTGTAAACTCCAATCTCCAAGCTCTGTGTATCCCAGGTCTCCCTGCCCACCCCATGGGCAACCCCGCGTGTCCCCCCTGTCCTCCAGCACCCCTCTTCCCAGCCAGCGCCAGCACACCACCGTGCAGCCAAATGCAATTACCTTGGCTAGAGAAAGCCCCTGAAGCAAAGGTGCAGTCTATGGATGTTGGGCAACTTGGCATCAGCCCTGCTCCCTGGGGCTCTGTGCTCAATTACTCGTTCTCAATTTACCGGTAAAAGCAATCGCTTTGCTAAATCCAGTGTCCAACTTGTGTTAACATTCAATTAGATGGAGAAGGATTGCAGCATTATGAAAGCCAGGGGACTCCTCCTTAATGAAGCCTCCAGTCCCAACTGTACTCCCAGATTAAGACTTCAGACCAATGGAGGCTGAAGGAAGACACAGCCGTGGTGGAAGAGACACCCGCGCAGTGCTGTCCTTTGAACTTTTCTAAGTCCAAGCACAGTGAGCACAAGCACACACCTTGCTCAGCACATTGAAGGTGCTTTGCAACACCGCTCCTGCAGCATCCCTCCCTGTTTTCACATTCTGTACCGGACAGCAGCCTTTTCACCAATTGCCTTTTGCAGAGGTGATTCAGGGTTTTGTTTTGTTTCAATATGGGCTAATACTAGCTTACATCACTAAATCTGAACTGGAATAACTATTTTCCAGTGCTTTCCTCCAAGTAAAAATCTATTCCCATGACTAGAGCATCCTCCATCCCAATTCCATATGTCTGCCAGAAGCCACAGCTGAATAAACCTGGCCTCGAAGACATGTGTTCATCTGATCACTCACTGGAGAGTTAGAGATACTTCCTTGTAGTATTACCTTAATTATTTTTTTGAGTGAGTGCTTCTAGTCACAAAACATTCTTGTGGATTTTAAAACATCCTGAAGAGAATTAATATGTCCTGCATGGCCTCTCTGGAGAATTAAAAGTGAGCTATGGACCAAATACTCTGTAAGACATATGGCCAGTGAATACTTCCTCCGATTATGTGAATTATAAAGTGCTGTAATGGTTTTGAAAATGCTGTGAACAGTATGCCATATAAGCCAGAAGAAATGTTCCAATAAAAACCTAAAGCAGATACATCAACTCAGAGCACCATGTGAGTGCATTTTAAAATATATTTTGTTCCTCGCTGGAAGCAAGAAGCCATGCAAATGCAGTCAGACCACAGGCTTTGGCTCACGTTCAGTCCCCAGACGGGTTCAGAGGCTCTGCCTATCTTCACCTTGGCCCAGAGACCCCTAAGAAAAGACAACCCTGGCTTACCTTGGCTTCCGTACCCAGCATCAATGCCGGAGCCATCCCAGGACTCCATAGCACTGTCCACGCTAGGAATTGTGGTGGAGTATATCTCAGACAGCTTGCTAGTTTTCTGGGAGTCCGTCAGTTCATCTTCTGGGTCGCTCACTTCGTTTATACTGCCCGACTTCTTGGGATAGGATTCTGAAACCAGAACATGCCTCCTCAGCAGGCACAAAGAGCAAGCCTCAGGGAAAGGCTTATGCTGACGCAGGAGCAAGGCCAGGTACTGTAAGTCTTTTGAAGAAGCTCTTTAGCTCTTCAAAAGTAGCTGAGAAAGGCCTGTGCAATACAGTTGAAAGAATTTCATGCAGTACTCTTATCTCAAGCTGAACCGAGAAAAAATGCCTGAGTTTTTAGCACATGGAATATAAGGAGCAACCATAGGGATTTGAGGATTCCCAATTATGAGAGTTGGGACCTAATCTCAGTTCAAAAGCACATCTTCTTGTGCCTTTGGAAGCTTCCTCTGAACAGCCCTGCCCAGAGAAGTGTTGGCCTTTGCAAGCAATAGCCCATAGCTTCTCTGGTCTCAGAGAGCCTCCTTTTTACTCAGATCAGCAGTGCTTCCAGCCAAATTGCTTCTGGCATGATCTGCCTTTGGGGACGGGACCCAAACAGTGCCAAAGCAGCACCTAGTCAGGGTGCTGGCTGCAAACTTTGTGTTACAAGCAGATGTAGATTCAATCAATGAGATTCCAACCCGGTCCCAAACTACCGCAGATGGAAGTTATAGCCCCCTTCCAAGATTGTACAACCTCGTATCAATTCAGGGCTAATCACCATCTCTCTGAGAGTCTCCCATACAGTCTCATGACAACAGTGGAATTCCTGGGCCTGGTATTTTGAGGCTGAATTTCCCCTGATTAGTGATTGGAAAATGGAAAGCTGAATGTGGATGATGAAGCTCAGTCATTCCCTTTCATTATTTTAGTAATAATAGCCCTTATTATCATTATATCAAATTCCCTTTCAGGCAAAAGCTATGCAAGGAATGGTTTCTCAGCACAAGCATTTCTTTGCACTGAATATTTTAAAGTCCTCGTTGATTAGATATCCTGTTAGCCATCCATGCCCTGGATCTCTGACTCGCAGAGGCTGGGATGAAAAGCCCTCTGAAAGTCTGTATTTGTCAGTGAGGACAGATTATTTTACCAAACAAAGGCCAGTGTCCTGAAAGTCCCTATTTTCCAAGCATTCAGAAGATTGCTCACCATGATTAACACAAGATTACCTTGAAATTTCAATTATACCTGCTTCATTCTCAGAATGATTAACGAGTCTCCAACTGGCACTTGCATGTCAATTATTTCAGCGAGTGGCTGTGACAATGCTAAGTGTCAGCAGGGGGAAAAAAGAATATTTCAGACCAAGGATCAAGACAGTTGGCTGCAGGGAACGAGACTGGGGTTTCTTGAAGAGGCATCAATTCCCCTCTATTTGCTAAGTCACCACCCCCTGCCTGGGCTTCCTCCATTTGTGAAATAGGTACATTGCCACACACTTGCAAACTGCTTTGAGGTCTACAGAAGTACTACGTTTAAGAGCGATGCTACTTCTTCAGATGCAGGACAGACATCCCATGGGCCAGGCCTGCTTAGAAGACCTTTATCACTTGATTTCTTCCAATTTATGCAGCACCATGGGCCACAGGCTGGGTAGGTCCAGCTAAATCTGCAGACTGCAGAAGCATGGCACAAAAAAGATAGAAAATACTGGGTGCGGGGAGGGACAGAAATGCAGCCAGAATGCACCCACTACTTTCTGAACTTGATGAAAGAGCCTCTGTTTGGCTGTGACTTCAAAGAAGTTGGGGAGAAAAGTTTGCATGTTCCCTGGTTTCCCCGATCCCCTCTCTGTGTCCCCCAAAGAAGTGGCCTGCCCGTACTAAATATGCTACTGCTCTTTGATACAGTGTCAAGAGGAACAACTTCAAAGCCACAGGGAGCTTGGCAGGGAAATGAGAAGGGGATTTCTAGAGTGATGGTAGATGCTTTGAAAGATGATCTTAGGGCCCCGAGCCAGAAAAAGGGGCATAAAAGATTTATTGCCAATCGCTTTCAAAAAGTTGAATTAAAGGCGGAGGTTTTTTTTCATGGATTCTACCAGCTCAGAGTCCCCTTGCTCACTTTTGAGGGGGTTTATATTTCAAAAAAACCTTCACTCTTCTACTATTAAAAGCACCTTCTGCTTCACTGTTGTGTGAAACACCCACACAGACAGTGAATGGCACCAAGAGCACAAGGTCTCAATCTGAAAAAAAGTTATTATCGCCAATAAACCTGCTGTCTCTTCTCTTCCCAGTAGCACAGGGAGCCCCTGGGTTGCTTTTTTTTAAAACTGTGAGTCAGAAGTCAAAAAAACGTCCATCTTTTCCCTCTGTCCCCAGCCATGCCCCTGACCACGCTGCCTCGTCTCACAACACATGAAGGAAAACCCACAGCGCTACCTACTCCATTGCCTGGGGGTCCTGCCGGGGTGTGCCTTCACCCTCCCACCCCAAACCAGGCTCCCCAACTCACTCTCCATCTGCTTCTTGATCTTCAGAGTGACCGTCTCTCCCGCCATCTGCAGCAGGTGAATGGCTTCGCTCAGCGGTTTGCCCTTGAGGCTCACATTATTAATCGCTAATATCCGGTCACCGATGTGGATGGCTCCAGTTCTGGAGAGAAAAGGCGCTGTTAGAAACTTCAGAGAAGCGATTCGCCTCTGTGAGACAGGCCGTTAAGTTGTCGCTTGAAGCAATAGCATATTAACTCTCAGCACTTTCAAATATGTCTTGGTTTCCCCTCGGTACGCTGTATACCCGTGATTTCCTCTTCATCACCACTACCAGGAATCTGGGTTCTGCCCCCATCTTCCACCTGTATATAAACATATATGCACAGGAACATATGTACCCCTTGGATCCCAGCCCCCTCGGGAACTGGGACCGCCGACCAGCTTACAGTCAAAACTCTTCAAAGCAAAAAAAAGAAGCAGAAGCATTTCCAGTGTGAGACATCCACCGGTTGTCACACATGGAACTGAAGGACATGTTCACACTGATGGAAAGAAACAACAAGACAAACCTAAAAACCCATTAAAAAAAACCAAAACAAATGGCCCAACACACACAGATTGTGTGTGCAAGCACGAGCTGAACCAGTTGCAGATCAGTTCACGATACGTTTAAAGCTCACCCCTACACAGCTACGCCACTGTGACTTTCTCCATCGAGACCACTGCGCTAGAAGGGGTGACTGTGTTTTATTGCACAGCCACGTTCCAGCACTGGCTTCTGCTCTCAGTTAAATAAATCCCCAAGGCTTCAGCAACAGCCAGGCACAAGTCATAGCAATTCTCCCCCTTCTCCATTCTTCCCTCTGTGCCTGCCCACAGACAGGGGCTCACTTTACCTCTCCCGGTGTTTGCTGCAGCTCCGGGAAGAGTAGGCAGGACAGGATGTGTCCATCGCCAGAGCTGGCAGCCGAGGCAGGAGCTCACGCTCGCTGCTAGCTGGACCGAGCTCACTGCACTCACGCTCCAGCTCCCTAACGCCAGCAAGCGAGAGCAGCAATCCTCTCCTCCTCCAGCAGTACCATGAGGTTTAGCTATCAGGAACCTGCACGATCGAGCCAGAAGGAGATGCAAATCTGGACCGCAGTATCTTTTTGTCCATGGCAACGTGCCTCTCAGGTTACATCTCCAAATTGGACTGCTGCTCCTGCAGAATTGGGATCTGATATACTGTCACAGGCAAAACAGCTACTTGTCTTTCCCCAAAATATGAAACTTTTGTAGACATGTTGCTGTGAAACACCTACTATAAGTAAATCAAATTGGGAAATGGCAGGACAAATTGGGAAAAGGCAGGACTGTTCGATCTGCTGCTGAAGCTGTTGAGATACGTGGACAGTGCCATGACAGTCCCAGCCAGCCACTAGATGTCCATCTTGCCCCATCCAAATCAGCCTGAAAAAGCCCTCAGGGAAAACTTGTGCATTCAAATAAATTACAGATCAAACTGGAACCAGAGTATTTGTCTCAAAAGTTTCATCTACGTAGTCAAAAAAAAAATCAAGCTTAACTGCTGGCAGTTTAAAGGCGATCCTTCGCTCGCTGCAGTGGTTCAGCATTTGAGGGCCTCCTGCTGTAGCACTGAACCCAGCATGGGGACACATCTGCTATCCAAGACACCAGCCCAGCCACCCCCACCTCTGAACAACACAACTGCTCTGCAGAAACTGTGAAAGTCCCTCAGCATGGAAAAATACAGAAACAATTAAAGAGAAAGGTCACGTTCAGCCAGGTGCTTTTCTTCAAGGGGGGAAAAGTATATCAAAGTCCAGTCCTCTCATCTGTCCATCTCCAGGCACCCCTGCGAGGACAAACAGAAGCCAAACGGGAACGACGGAGAAAGCTGTTTCTAGCTAATGACCCGTGTGCCTCTCTATCATCACCAACAGTCCTTAATTCAACACAAACACTAACCAGCCCAAGGAGCTGTGTGCTCCATGTCCCTTCTTGCTCAGAGGACACGTGCAAGAGCAGAATCAAGCAACAGGTAAGTTGCAATCTGTAAAAGGGGCTGCAGGCACTTTCCAGCAAGTGCTGGAGAAGTGGCTGCATGCCCATGGCAGGGATTTACTTGGCACGTGGGCAGGGCCACGATCCTTTCTCCCCCCTGCCAACATGGGTTGGTGCTGAGCACTCCTGGACAAAACCCTCCTGCAGCCACCCCCATCTACTTGACCAGGTAGCGCTAGAGGAAGCTGGTCAGACACTTTAAAATGCCAGCGATAGCCCAAAATTGCTCTTGGAGAACCATTACACCTTGACCAGAATTGAACAGTATGTTCAGGCACACTCCCTTCCCCAAGAAGAAGGAAAACAAGTCCCATGGCTCAGGCTAAAGCCACCCACAGGTGCCGCAGGAGGGGAACAGAGACTAACATGAGAGAGAGCCACTGCTCGACACCAGCCCAACAGCCTGAGCTGCCTCTGTAGGTTTCTACAGGATCAGACAGGTTCAAGGAGAAGAATATTCAAGGTCAAGATAAAACCCAAGTCATCTGAATCTGAAGCCTCTTCAGCTTACACAGCCTGCCACCCGCTGTGACAGACGCGTGACAGATCCTAGAGGACACCCTGCTTTCCCCATCGCCAAGTGAGCAGCCGGAGCCGCAGCGCAGACCTTTGCTCATGCCTCTAACGAGCGCGGACGGCACGGCCCCATTATCAGACGCAGGGATCTTGGCTGCCCCGTGCCAGCACTTCTGAAACATGTCCTGTGCTCCAGCAAAAGCCAGGCACAGCTTTGGGTTTAAATCCCTGTCCTTCAGAAACCTGTCCCGTCCTTCAGAGCCTGGCTAAGGACGCCTGTGGCACAGGGAAGGGTAGTGCAGCAGGAAAGGGACAATTCAGGTTAACACTAGGACCACCCCTCTTCCCTTGACAAGGTCGAGCCACTCCCTTCTGTTACTCCCAGGAGAAAAATATGCACCACGTCAGCAGAAAAATATGCACCTTTCCTGCAGGCAGCCTTCATCCCAGCGCTCTTCACCCTCCCCACAGGGAAGCCAAGGTTACCCAGAGAATTCCCCACGCTGCTCCATCCCCATGTCGCTCCTCTGCGCAGGCATCGTTATTTGTTAGTCTGCTACGGTGAACATGCTGAACGGCTCCATCGCTTTTCTCAAAAGGCTTTTCATTCCTTACTGTCTGCCAGCTCCTGATCAAAATTCAATAGTACTGCAGCACTTGCCTGCACTACGCTTCTCCGAGGAGCAGTCACTGATGTGTACCCGAGTTCAAAAGAGGAACAGCCACGGCATTGCAAAGGGAACTGAGAGCAATAAGGGTACCAGACCGTCTTCTGACACCTGACAGCATTTGGGCTTTCTGTCCTTAACCTCTCTCACGCTGGGCTGCAGGTACAGTGCAGAACTGCTATGCAGAAAAGCCTCGGATACTCTGTCGCTATTGTTTTCTAGGGAAAAAGACCGAATCCTACAGTGGCAGGTAGTAATATAAAATCCCCAAAGAGAAGAAGAACCACTAATGACTAAGTCCATCCCTCTTCCTTACTTCTTGGGAGATGTTCTGCTTTCTGTACCAAAGGAAAGCTAGGGGAATGCGCAGCAGCATGTGTGCTGAGAGCTCGAGGAGCCCAATGCAGGAAGAGGCACCGAGCTGTTCTACAGTCCAGCTAAGAGGGAGTGCAGCCTCGAAACAGAAAGAACCAAAAGGCCAGATCTGCAGCCAAACGTCCCCCAGGTCTAGCACTTTACACCTATTTGTTCAGGGCTTTTTTTGCTGCTGTTCTGCCTGTCAGGCAGCACAGGATAAAGCAACCCTATGAGAAGCGTGAGTCAGGGTTGCTGAAATGATCTATTTACAAGTCACAGCTACCATATAGACAGATTAATTAAGATACAGTGTATGACTCAGTTCCACCTTATATTCTCAGCAATGTCCTGATCCTTTAAATCCCACGCATGCACATATACTCAGACAGAGGCGCGCACACACACAATCAACCTCCCTGGTTGCCGAAGGTAAATCTGCACCTACATTTATGCAGCATAAATGCCTGCTGCTTGAGGCACGCCAGTCCTGCACTGAGATACCTCCATACGTAACAGACTAAGCAACCAGCAAGGTTGGGCCAGAAGACCCCTGAGATTTTTCACCGCTGCCGTGGCCATAAACCATAGTTCAGCAATAGGTCAGTCCTGGACAGGAGTCTGTGGTGGTTTTGTGGGCAGCTGGGCACTCTCCCCATGCAAGATGCGGTGTGGGAAATCACAGACCAGGAAGAGGGGCAGATAAACACGTTTTCCTGGCTGCTGCATTCAACCGACACACTGGATCTGACTCTTCCACAAGTGCCCCGCTTTGAGCCTCTCTCATAGTCCCAGCCACCCCACATGTCCCGCCATGTGGGTCTGCAGAGCCAGACTGGCAGGGCTGTCCCCACTTCACAATGCTTGGCACCTTCATAGCACCTTTCCTTTTTAGCAGGCTAAAAGACCTAAGGAGAGTTTATGACAGCAGAGGAAATTTTGCAAACTTCAAGATCCCTTTCCCACATCAGTTCAACCTCTCTGCCCCCAAACCTCACCTTTCTGCTAGCCCTCGTTTAGTCAAGCCCGAAATGACAATAGGATCAAAAGGCTCCTCTGTCCCGGAGATGGTTATTCCCAAGGGGCCACCATATCGCTTCAGTTCCACTGTGTAGATAATAGCACCGGTTGTCTCCTGCTCATCTGAAAGAGGAAACAGGAATGCTGAATTTTTTAATTAGCCATATGAGAGAGGTCATAGGAAAGACTTGCAGCATTTAGAAGCAAAAGCCTGAGGTCTTCACCCATCCTCATACCAAATGGGATTTTAACCTTCCAGACTCCATTTAAGGGCAGAATAACAAAAATAGACTATAATCAACTGGAAAGCAGTGACAGGACAGGCAGCAGCCCTTATCTTTGTTAGTTTGCACTACCTATTGGGAAATGTCATTACAGTGGACAGACACCAGTTTGCATCAGGATTTCTGTACCAGAGTTATCTTCATCCTTCCTAATCTTCAATTTGACGAGGTCTTCACACTGCCTTAAAATCTGGACAGCATCCTCCATTGAGCAATTGTCGAGTCGGATGTTATCAATGGCTAACAGCTTGTCTCCCGGCTCCAAGGTGCCAGTTCTATGTGGAAAGGAAAAGAAAACTAAAAGTACATTTGTATTTGCCTTTCAGATCCTGTGACGCATTCAGTCCTGCAGTGGTGATGACAATATTAACTTTTTACTGTCCTTGATCTTTTCTGGGAAACAACCATGAACAGAGTCTGGGACAATTATAACTTAAAGAGAGGAAGTTTGTGTAGAGCATGCATCAACACAGAACAAGACAGAAAGATTAGATATACAGCCTGGGTAACCTACAGCACTGAAAAATGCCTGATGTTTAACTGACAGATATTCTACCTTTTATGGAAACTCCTGTTTGAGCACTCTTAGAAACGAGCCCTCCGGCAGCACTAAATTCCTCTGAAAGCCTTGCTATGAGGTGTTGGGATCAGAGGTGAAGTCAATAAATGCTGAGTTATTTGCACAGTTCTCCACCAGTGCCCACAATTCACTCACTCTGTTCACCTGAGCAGGAGCCGAGACAGAGCAAACTACCTGATGAGCCATAGCACCTTGTGGGATATATGAAGGCCTTTACCACATGCTCTTAAACGCTAAACATCCATCTCCTAGAGGGTGAGCAGACCTCTGAATCAGTGCCCTGGCCACCTTCTCCATTAGCTCAACTCTACTTGCTTCGATACAGACAGTTTTTATTGCAAACCCTACTGTGGTCTAAGACTAACCTCTAGGGTTGACATCTCCTTACATGCTGGCAAAATCCAGACCCAAGTGCTACTGCTTGGGCTTCATTCTACCTCTCATGACTGGGCCAGACATTTTGCAATGGGTTTGGCAGATGGGAAATTCTGCACTCACCTATGTGCTACGCTCCCCTTCTTGATGTCAGAGATGATCAAAGGCTCCCCAGGCTTTCTGCTTGCAGCTGCAAAAGAGACACATGGGTACAAAGCTCGGTATTGAGTCTGCTACCTAGGAGGGGATGGTTAATGGGGAGAAAGAATTATAAAGAAAGGCAATTTATATTCCTTTGACAAAATGATACTTCGCACTTGAACTCTGGAAGCCACAGCAGGAAAAAAAATAGTGAATCCCTGCAAACATTTGCTAGCTGCTACCTTTGGTCTCCTCCTGAAGAAGGAGAGGACGCGTGGTGTCCAACAGCAAGAGGTGGGATTGCCGAATCCCAGCAGTGTTAAACACCCGCTCACCCACATCTCTGACGCGAGACAGCGAGTCAACAGCCATGGCAGTAGTCAGACATCAGCACTGCTGCCTGGGGAGTACCTAGCTCAGCGCTGTGGCTAATACAAGCATTTCTGTGTTCTTCAAGTAAAGTAGGCTGGGAAATTTTCCAGTTAGAAAATAACCCAGGTAAAATTAAATAAAACATTGTTTTCCAGCTGGTTCAGGTCTCCAGGCCACTTCATCATACAACCAGATAAATGAGGGTTGGTCTCAGTGCTGGAGCTGGAAGGGGTGGTTTCCAATTCTTCTCTCCCACCCTGATAATGTTTTCAGCCCACGAGAGATGCGAGTACACATCTCTGGGAACATTTGCATTTTCAAATTTGCCTGCAAGACCTGCTGCTCTCTTGAGAAACTCAAGTGAGATTTATGGCTTAAACCGCTCCTGACCTCCCTGCCATCCGCACACCAAACATATGCCAAGAGCATCCTTTGCACACCCCGTCACTCCCTCCTGCCTTGCTATGGGAATTGCATCGTCTCATTTAAAGCTCATTCTCAGCAAAAACTGCGTGGGAAGGAAGAAACTCGCATCATCTTAACATATCAGGTGCAGGTTAGAGATTAAAGTATCTGTGAGGCACTTGGCATCAACCACACAGAGATCCACCTGCCTGAACAGCAGTCAGAGAGCACCCCAGAAAGTCAGACATAAGGGAGTCTCTACTCTACTATAGCTTTAACCTGTTGTTTACATTAATTTATGAGATTTTAAAACATATGTGCTAACCCGTCACCTTTAAGGATACCCTCTCCCAGATATAACTAAACCTCCTGTACTGAACAGAGCAAAGATAGCCAATCTCGGCTGTGGCAGGGCTGAGTATAAAAGTTGGTCAGACAGTGAAGAGCAGATCGTGACTGATTTTATAATAGTCACGGCAATGCGACTGCTGAGCGATACAGAGCCTGGAAGAATTATTTTCCCTATCTCTTACTGGAGCACGGTGCCAAGCAATTTTGGTCTGGACACTCATGTTCAGCTTGCGGCCACGGGTCAAAGAGAAGCGTGGGCTGTGGAGATTAACTGAGGGCTCGTGCCTATATATTCAACCTGTCTACGGCACGGACCAGGCAGCAGATAGACCGACACATGCCGGGCAGAGCCGAGTGCTGGGAGGGAAGGACGGGGTGCAGGAGCTAAAAATCAATGCAGATATCTACAAGGCCACACACTATGGACTAACAGCACAGGGGACGGAGACGTATTGCCCTGTTATTACTATTGCTGTTCTCTTTTTCGATATAGGACATATATTTGCTGCTGAGAGGTGCACAACGAGGTGGTCTGAGCTGGCAGTGATGGGAGACCCTGTTAGCACACCCTGAGCCCTGGGGTCGGGCTGGCATCACTGCATGTTTAAGCGCTCCCTAGCCCAATTCTGTCAAAACGATCCAGGTTAGCAAAAATACTTTTCACCGCAAGGTTTGTTTATTAGTTTCAAAGCAGAGGCAGCATGACAGAAAGGGGTTAGGGAGGATCTCCACAGTCCTGGTGGTGGGTTGGGGATGGCCACCTCAAAACCTGACCCAGCCACAGCTGGAACGACGTGTCCAGAGACCGTGAACACTCAAATGAGCAAAGAGGGGGGAAAAAAAAAAAAAAAAAAAGGCAAGTATAGACAACAACATGCCTCAAGCTCTACAGAAATGGTGTCTACCTCAGCATCCTGCCCGTGGTCAGTCTCTGAGCAGAGAGCGAGACCTCGTCCTTCTGCAGCTCTGCAATTGGTGTCAGCACTGAATGCAGCACAAACTTCCCGTATTGGAAGCAAGGATGACAAACCAAAGGCTTTGTCCATTAGGAAACAAAGCAAGTTTTAAGGAAAAATCATTCTGGTTTTGTTTGCTTTTTTTTTTGGAAGTTGTGCTTTCCAAACAGATTTTCTTGAGACTTCAGTTAAATGGAAGAATCATGTACAACCGCATACAACTGTCCCTACCATCAGAGTACCCAAACTTTAATAAATGGCAGCCCTCTGTTTTAAATAATCATTTAGTATAAAATGGAAAGGCTTTATAAAACCATCATTATTAGTCAGCACCTACAAATCTGAAGGGTAAGTTAGAGAGACTTAATGAGTAACTTAATGACTTAATGAATAATCGTTCTCTCTCAAGAGGCATAAGATACGAAGTTAAGATAATGAAATCTCAAAGCACAGAACAGTCACTTACTGTTCGTTTTAAAAACCAGTAGTTACTAACTCTATTAATTCACCTTTTGCACCCCAAAGCCCTTCCCGGTGCCCCAGCAGCGCGCCCAGCTGGGCTTTCGGCCCGTCAGCTGGGACCAGGCTGCCCCCGACCGCCCCAGCCACCCTGGGACCCGCGTTCTTAACAGTCCCGGGCTGCTCACGCAGGGTAACAACGTGCCTCTGCCTAACGGCTGCCCTGTCTACAGACAGGAGAGCTGCAATGTCACTGAAGTGGTGGCTCAGTCTAGGTCAGAGGCATTAGAGATGTAGACCACTGGTGAGATTTTAGATAAACGATTTACTTTTTTTTTTAAATTGCAGGCAAATTGGAAACTACATTATTATTTTATTAGGGCTGTGGTCTTTGGAGTTAAGACACTTGAAGAGATGAGTAAAGCCTTTTCATCTATTCATTTCTGCTGTCAGTGTGGTTATTTCTTTTCAAAGGACATTGTCTGGGTAATTCTGTTTGCTGCAGGAAGACCCCGTTCGGATGCCCAGCCTTGCCTCTCTGGGTCTTTGCTTTCCCGTCTGTGAAATGGAGATGGCAGCAAAAGGAGTAGAGGGAAAAGATGGATGGAGAGACAGAAGCAGAAGCTGGTGAGCAAAAACCCATGCTCCCTCTTGGCAGGCTTGTGGCCTCCGTCTACCAGGGCAAACCACTTCAGGTGGAAGTAGGCTCTTTTTCAGATACATTTGTATTTTTGATGGGTTTACCAGTACAAAAGATAGTTTAAATCTGCTCCAGTGGCCCAGAGAAAGCTCCATAAATCAACAGCTGATGAAGGTAGAAGCGTGGGGTGGGGGAGAAACTCAAAATGAAAACACTGCTTGGTGGTGGTGACAGGGCAGTGATAAAAAGGTGAATTGATCAATACTGTTATTTACTTTTTATAAATTGCTTTCAGTCTCTCGCCACCTCTGCTGGGATTCTGGCTCACTTGGCGTTTACTCTGTGATGGATGACGAGGCCAGAAACACATGTCCAGTTTGTGTTTTTAATAGAATGCATAATGACTCGTATTGGTAAATTATTCCCCTCCAAGGAGCACGAGCACATATCTCGCACGCATCAACGCTTCAACCCATTACAAATGCCCTTCGTTATTGACCAAGCCAAAGCAGCACTCTGCCAATGTGCGATTAAAGAAATTGTAATAATGCCATAAGAACACATTTAAGAAAGCAAACATTTATAAGGGGGAAAAAACAAACAAAATCAGAAACCCAATAATCTCAGGATAGCTAAGGAATGAGAAGAGGAATAAAAGCAAATCAGAATCGATCACAAAAAGCAGCAGTGAAAATCAAATCCCCAGTACCCAACTTTTTCCTCTATCATTCATTAGTTTTAGCAGCAGGTGCATAAATTATCAATGCCTCCAGCAAGGTATTTACCCCGCCGCAGATCTGTTTCCTTCCCAAATCTCCAGGTAGCAAAAGCAGGACAGAACGTCTCACTTCAGTAAAAGCAGCAGAGTGAATCAGCCGCAAATCTCAGTTGAAGCTGCAGTGTTAGCGAGAGGGTAGGACAGGAGACCGCCGGGCACGCTGCCGCTTGCAGACGTGCTCTGCCGGGCTGGCGGCAGGTCCCAGGTTAATCCAGCACCAGCAAAGCCAGATTTGCTTGGCTCACAGATCCATCTTCTTGCTAGGACAGTGATTACGCTGCTTAAGCAACTTAATCGAAGTTATCTATCCAAATTCCGGTTTTATCGCCTGCAAGCAGATATACTACCTATTCCTTATCTGCAGTACTTCACACCAAGGGCACAGGAATTGATTTGTTAAGATACATAAAGGCAATTTGATAAACATGCTATATAAAGCATTAACACATAGCTAAAATGAACGGCAATTTCAATATCTGTTTAAACAGCAACAACAACACACCTGTACCCTGCAGCGAATTTCACAGCTAGCCCCTGGAGAGGATATTTGAGACAGACAAAAAAAAAATCCCAAAACCAAAAAACACAAAAAGCAATCTTTTGTGTAATCAACTATCATTTTCCAGAGGCTAATAACAAATCCACATCTTATTTTAAGAGGTCAGGTATTGAACATACAAGAATACACAACTATTAGCTTCTCGCTGTTGGAGATTTTAATTTGTAAGAGATTTACAGAAAACCTACAAAGGCAAAACTGTATCATTAGAACTGAATGCAGCCAGCAAGATCAGAGCACTTACAGCATGTGTTCTGCTAATGGAGATGAGTAGTTCAGGCTAACAAGAGCCAAATATTCACATCCCTGTGTCAAAAATCTCAGTTTGCACGTTTTTGCATCCCCACAATTCAGAGCACCTCAAAGGTCTCTGCAAATAGTTGAGCTTCACAGCCCGCACAACTCTTTGAACCTCGCGGAGCAGAAAGGAGAGCACGCTTTGCTCTTCAAGCAGAGCAGCTGTTTTACAAACAAATGCAGCCTTCCCCCTGGGACAGAAACCGAGGCAGTGGAGTATGGAGAAAAAGAGATCGATTTTGCTGGCTTCTTGTCGCTTCACCCCTGGATGAAGTGCAAGGAAGCAGTGCACATGAGGCAGCTTCGGTGTTTTACTTTGCTAATTTTCATTTAGCAAACGCAGGAGACTGAAATGAGGCTTGAGGGCACGGGGGTGCCACAAAAATACAAAGCAGAGCCAGTGAAAAACTCAGCCCTTGGACCTCCTATTCATCCTCTGGGGAAAGGAAATGGAAATAATGCTATATGGAAATATTTGCATCATGCGTCTTAATTTGCTGCATCCCTTTGCCATGCTGTGTTTGAGCAGGAGGAAGAAGCCCGTCTGCGTGCACACAGCCATTTGCACAGACCACAACCCTGGGCTTGCCCAGCCCAAGCCTTCTCTTTCTAGCAAACCCAGAGACCTTGGAGAAGATGAGAGCCTTCAGCAAACACCCACCCCTCACCAGGAGCAAGCACAGACCCTCTCTGTATGTTCATCCCAGAACCAGCAGCACCTGCCCTCCTCATACAAAAACCTCCTGGGTTTTCAGCCCTTTTATGAGGCTTTCCAGCAGATTTACGGTTCCTCCTGCAGCCAGCTCCATTATACGAATTCTTCCAACGCATCCATCAAGAATCCTGCTTTCCCCCGCTTTACTTAGCCCATCTCCCGATTAGCTCTGAGAGCCACAGCACAGCAAGAACTTGATCGCTTTTATTTCTGTAGTGCTCCTCTGATGAGGTCGTAACACTTTCTGCCCGTGTAAGAAGGCAGCAGCAAACCTTCCTAGACAGAGGAATTAACTACAGAAGAGCCTGCTGAAGCCAAGAGGTAAAACTCAACGAAAGCAACTCATCTTTCTTCTACTGGGTAGCTGGACCACAAAGTTTATGAACAAACCCAATTCTGTGGCCACAACAGTGCAGTGGGTCTTCTACTAACCCCTCCAGCTTATCATCTATTTAACCTGCCCCAGTTTTACAGAGCAGGGAACAGGAATCCAATGTGCAAGGCCAGTAACCCAAGTCCCCTACTTTAAAACAGTAGTTATATGCTTCTCCTTGTCAGAAGAAAAGCTATAAAAGCTGTTCCTAGATCTATACAAGCATTCAAATCAGCAGAACTGCGAGGAACTGAGCAAAACAGAGTTATTTTTACCTCTTTTCTCTTGCTGCTTGCATCACACTCCTGCATGCACATCATGTCTCTGCAGGAGGTACTTACCATAAGGCTGCTTGCTTTGGTTTTAATGTTTGAAACTCGTATATTTATCTGCCCAGTCAGAGGCAGAGTGACAAAATGATGATCTAATCGCTAAGGGTCATGTGGACATAGGCTTATATGGACTAATATATGAAAACAGAATTAGGATTCAACTAGCATTTCATCCTTGCCACCACATTTTCTGGATGGCTGTCTTTTGCTCCATTTGTAAATATAATTTTTGCTTTGACTCAGCAAAGGACTGAAATATATCTTAAGTTCATGCGTTTGCGTTACTTAATGTCCTGCAAACCCATTCAACAATCAAAAAGATCAAACCTACTATATTGTTAAAAAACTGCTTTGTAGTTGGATAATGGGTATCTAACTATTTAAAAGCCAGGGGTCAGTTTCTTTTTATTTAGCGGTCATTTTAAAAAAGTGTGTGAAATCGATTTTTTAAACAAATTTCAAATGAAAACATTTTCAACATAAAAATACATTTGAAGTGTAAATGCACATCTGAAGCAGATCCCATTTAAGTAAGACTCCATAAATAAAAGCTAATATTCTGCCAGCAACTCCCAGGTTCGTTTTGCTCTCCAGCCCCAGATACAGACTAAGCTTTGAAGTTTAAATGGGATGAAACCCTGGCCATACTCAAGCCAGAATTTTTTTTTACCAGATCCATCGTCCCAGGTTGCTACCTGAGACTGCAATGCCAATGCAGTGGGCAGGGCAGCGGGCTGGGACCCAGCGCTCGCTGGGCTGCTGCACTGTGCCCTGCTCCCCCATCAGTGAAATGTCAGTACGGGTACCCCACTGCTTTCAGAAAGCACTTTGATGTCTTCAGACAGTAATTGCTAACAAGCCAAATGTTAAATACTGCACTGTTATTTCTTAGGATTATTCTTGAGGCACAAATAAGGGAGGCTGGGAAGAGGGAGAAGAAATAACACAGGATGCAAAGCCATCACCCTGTCGATGTTCAAGTCATTCCTGAGAATCACCCTACTTGGACCAGAACACCTCCAATTAACTCACTGACTAATGCTGTAAATGCCAAGAGGTAATTATAAATAGCTTATCTATTTCAATTGAACCTAGTTTTAAAGTGTCCCTAGCGACTCCGTTCCCCAGACACAGCTGGGTCCACGCTCCTGAGGGCTTAGACGCAAGATCCCATTACTGCAGTCTCAAGTTTCTTTGTTTCAGCTGAGAGGTGGTGGCAGCCTCTGGGCATGGCAAGTCTGAGATGATTCAACTCAGTTTACCCAGCAGTGAAAGAGTGATGTGAGACCTGACATTTGGCTCACATTTGCCATAAAGGAAAAGTTCACTGATGCAAGGCATAACAAGACCCCTAGTTGGCCAGAAATTTGGGATCGATCTGCCTATATCATCCCCTTACAGCATCCCCTCCAAAGACGCCAAAAGATTTTAAAATGAAAAATATGCTTCAGAAGAGAAACAAAGAGAATTAATCAAGAGTGAGCAGAGAAGAGAGAAAAGAAAGAAAAAGGTTTATGTCTCGTTCTCTCAGTGCCCACCAAGTCCTGGCACATGGATCTCTCCCCCATGGCTGGGGTTAGTCAATGCAAGGACTCCCGGCAAACCCTGCCCAGCACCCTCCTGTCCCTGAAGTGCCTTCTCCTGGACCTCTAATGCCAGCCACCCTCTTCATCCTCCTCCTCCTTTTAGCAGTTTCCCCTCTCTACCCTTCAAGCTGTGGGTTCACCTCACACTTACTCTCCTCCCTTCTTTTTTAAAAGGAACATAATACAACTGTGAGCAAGGAAATTAAAATAACATTACTAATAATATAATATAATATTAGCCTGTGGCACAGACCAACTGATCGGTTGAGACGCATCCTTTGCCCCAATCCTTCATGCAGGGTTTTTTCACGCTTTTCTTTGCGGCTGCCAGCTCGTGGAGGCAGGAACCAGACATCTAATTCAGCTTGGGATAAATCACAAGCACTGCGAGCGCTACCAGGAAACCCCATGTAATCTTATCTCTCTCCACTGGGCCCCTCTGATGTGCCAGGGCAGAAAGCAGCCGCTCTTGCAACTGCTAGCTCAAGTCTGAGCAATACTTACAGCTGATTGTAATTCCAAGCTCCACACCCCTTTTCTTGGGCAATTTAACGTGGAAAGTACCGCTGCTGGGTATGACAGACTCTATAAAACCAAAAACAGACAAAAAAGAAAATAGAAGAAAAGAGAGAGTTTTCAGCTGCATAGATGGTTTCTTTGGAACCAAGAAAAACAAGCCCATAAAACTCAGCTTTACGGGTTCAAATAAGGTTGTTATTCGAGACCCTGCGGACGTCAGGTTAAAATTTGGATTCTCATCAAAAATACATGCTCTGAACATCAAGTGAAGTGCTCACATCACGCTGTATTTCAAGATTGAGGCAGCTCTGTCAATGTAAAAGGAAAAAAACTTTTTTTTTTTTTTTTTTTTTTTTTTTTTAATAGAAAGCTGCTCTTTTGCCCCAGCCAATAGCTTTGGCTCCGTCCTTGCTTCAAGGCCATAAATTAATATAAATATTATTCATATTAATGGGCAAATATTGAAAGTGCAGGTGGCCTCTTCATCTACTCCTTGGGCTTATCTCAGCCAGGTGATGAGCACAAGGCATTTATGAAAGGATCAGAAGAAGGACCCTCCATCTCAGTGCACGTTAGAGAACAAGAAGAAATGGAAAAGGCCCTCACAGGGTCTTCTCGCTCTTCCCTCTGAGCTCTAGCAAAAACCTCATGTACTTGTGTGAATACACTCCCTCCTAGGGCTTAGCAAAGGCACGGGCAGAGTCCCGCTGGTAGTGAGGAGCAGCAATCCTTTGGCAACGTACCTGCAACATCGAATTCAATCTCAAGCACCACTTTGTTCGTGAGCGCGGCATCACGCAAAAGCTGATTAGCTTCCTCCATAGTCCCATCCTCAGTCGCAATGCCATTGATAGAAAGAACTCTGTCTCCTACTTGCAGCAGCCCACACCTGCAGTCCACATTGGAAAAAGAGGGAAAGGGGACAAGGAGGCAGGGAAAAAGAGGAAAGGAGAAAAAACAACCCCACAACCAGCCATGAGTTACTTTTGCCAGGCAAATCTGTTACGAGACACATAGATTAGTGACAAATCCTGCAGAAGTGGCCCCAAAGAGAAGATAACTCATTCTGCAATGCCTGTCCCAATGCCAAGAGCCCCTGGAAGATCACAGGGCAGCAAACCCTTGTGGATTGCTTGAGCTCAGACATAGTTTGCTCCTAAATAACCATCTTTGGTCATATTTCCTGCAATTTCCAGGGGAAAAAAAAGTAACCCTCACCTTCCTAAAAATCAACACCATGGCCAAGAGATGAGAGCGATAAATGCAAGGGCATGTGCCCTCCTACCCTATCTAATGGTATACGGCTCCTTCCATGTGCCTGCACCCCTCTAAAACCCAAACTAATGGCACTGAAAATTGCACGGAGTCCTCTGCTTAATACGTGGCTAATATTGAAGCTACAATCCAAGGAACTCACTGAAATGTCTCAGCAAATTGGATAATCATTTATCCCTTGTAATTGCATTTCTGGAAGCCAAATGTACATTGATACCGTTTAACTGCCTTGAAAGGCCAATATTATTCCGATGCAATATCCCGCCAATATAACCACAACTGGCACTTGGGGGTTTTGCGTTTAGACTCACTTTCTCCAAGAGCACAGATCAGCAGGTTTTTTTACTTTGGAAGAAAAACAATGATGGCAAAGCTATGTTGGAGATATACTGCTACAGCATGGTTTGTCTCTTGGGACCCCTCTGTATTTATAAGCAAGGATTTTTTGACACATGAACCACTACATTCAATATTCACCCTCCCTTCTTTTTTCTTTTTTTTTTTTTTTTTTAAATATACTGTAATACCAGCAAGACAATCCTCCACCTTACTGAGCTGGCCCACGGCTCTACAGGATAAAGAGTTCCCTCTGACTGGCCATGGGCAACTGCTCATCTTCCTTCTCCTCCACACCCTTCATCAGTTGTTGGCTATAACCACATCTTTTCAGATTTTCCACTCATCACCTGTCTATAAAGCTGTCCACTTGAGCAGAGCTTGGGAAATCATTCCTCCTCCATCATTAACATACGCTACAGAGTGGTCTCTAAAACACGTTGAGGGTTATGGGAACAAGTCTAAGGTTCACCTCTACATTTGGAGTTCTTTTACCACAAAGATTTCCCAGAAGGCATCAGCTATCCAGAAAATCTTTATTCCCCTGCTCTTTAATGATCAAGCACATCCTTTGCCCTCTCCTTTCTAGATGCAGCTTCCACTGGTATTTCACAGAAGACAGCTTGTTTTTTACTAATCCTTCCAGCCGCTCTTCATCACTCACACCCCATGCAATTGTAAGAAAACATGGTACCGCAGGTCCCAGGCACACAAAGGTAACATCAAAGGCCACAGACACTGGCTGTATTATTCACCTCCAAACAACAGGACGTATATATGAAAGACCAGGTCATCAAGAAAAAATGCACACATCCAAATTCAAGAAAAATGCACAAGCACAACATCAAAAGCTGAGATACAAGCAAGTCTGGAGAGAGCCTAGGGAGGTTATTTTACTGGTAGGAAGGTATTAAACGTGCAGTATATTTACACTGCTGCCTGAGTTCATGCCATCCATGGAAAAACACTGGTTATTTTATGAGATGTAAATTCAGAAGTGTTTGTTCAAGGAGACTTGGATTAGGACAGACAACTCTATGGTGTATAAATGAATCCACTCTTGAGAATAAATTACATCAAGTTTAATTACAGTCCTTTACTGGACTTGTGGATATGCAGCCACACAGATGCTCCTGGAAATATCAGCTTATAAATATGAAGATGGCAAGGAGCACAACAGAGATGCCTCCTCCAGCACCCAGAGCTCTCTTCCTATGGCCAGAATGCACCTTTCAGAAAGGAGGGATCAACATCGGCGTCACACAGACATCGCTTTGTCATTTCAAGGTCACACAAGGACACAATCCATGTTGGCACCACTGTTTCAGCAACAAGGGCCGGGAGATCACTGGATACTTTTACTCAGCACCAAAGCAAACATTTGCCACCTTTCCTACAGAGCTGCGTTCTCATAAAACAACCATTTCTTGTGTTTCTTCACTCAAGGTGGATTTCCCTGGGTGTTTTACAGCCAATAGCTCTGTTAGATCAGAAGTATTTTATTTCTTTTACTATTAGCTTTAGTCAGTCATGGTTGTTCAAGCCCCAGTCTTGCAGGTTTATAAAAGTTTGTGGAGTGAAGCCACAACCTTCTGGCTCCCTGCACGAGGGCAAGGAAACCCGACGTGCTTTGTTAACTCTTCGGAATAATTCCAAAGACACCAGTTTCCAACTGTCACATGCTCTTGCACTGGGAGCAGGGCCCTGGGAGCCAAGGCTCCTGCAGACCTCTCCTTGGTTCTGCTGTGGGATCCTACATGAACCTTTTAGATGGCTTTCCCAGAGAGAGGGCGTTTGTCTCAGAGATGCAAAGTCTAACATCAGAGCTCACAAAGCACTTTGAGATCATGGGAGTAGAAGTGCTTTGGAATCAGAAAGAATAAGAGTACAGGCATCTCCCAGAGTGAAAGACAGCCCTTCAGAGGTGTTGGAGTCCATGATGGGAATGTCTCCCTGGGTTGCAGAGATTTGTATTTTGTTGTGACTCATTCCTTGGGCTCAAAGACAGCAACAGAGGAGCAGAGGTGTCTTGCTAGATGCAGAGCAGCGCAAATTCAAGCCTTGGGCAGGATATGCGCTGCAGATCTCACTCAGCATCATCAGCATCTGTGTGGTCACTCCAGCTGTGGGGTGAGTGGCGGCAGCTGTGACCATGGCCACATCTTGGCTGCAGAAACCGATCTGTCATGCCCCGACACTCCCCCGAGTTGGCCTGCACAGGTCAGACATGCACATCTGTGTATGTCTGTACATCCGTGTCTGGACATCGGTGGGTGGGTCCAGCCCCCAGAAGATCAAAGCTTTGCTGACAGCTTCACCCAGCTGCTAAACTTTCCTTTTGCAAACTATTCATACTAAAAAGCCAGAAACACAGTGATCAAACAACTGTGTCTGAGCAGAGCTAGAAAACGTGTACCTAAGC